GGGGGGGAGGCTGACAATCATGGATATTTTCAAATCGGATTTTGACAAATGCAAGATAGTTGAAGACACGTCCTCTTTTACAAATTCAAAATTCAAACTGTCTAAGGTGCTACTTCAGTCTCTCAGGATATTCTTTCATTCTTTTGGTGTATACATTTAATTCTCATCTTCTTCATATCAAGTATAGTACAGTTCTCTCTTCCATCAATTCTTTCCACTCGCCACTTCTTCTTTTTTTTAACCATCGAAAGCAGTAGTTGTCTTTTTTGCCATGAAAAGATTAAAATCTTGTGTTTAACCTTGTTTCACTAAAATACATGCACAGGTCAGACAAATAGCATATAAATATGTTACAAAATAAGTGTAAAAAAGCTTGGCAAAACAAAACAAAGGAAACAACATTAAAAGACATGGTCCAGTCAGGCAGTTGTCACAACTAAAAATAGTAAGACTGATTTTTTTTGTTTGTTTTTTTTTTCCGGCGGCTCAGTTTGGCCCAGTGCAGTAACTGTGAACAATGTCATTTTAGTGCAATGAAATTCTAGTCAGTTCCACAGCTGTCAGTCCTTCCCCTCAGCAGCTCGCAGACTTGCTTGATTAAACTTTCTCCATTTTGTCGAGCTTCTCCAGTTTCTCCAGAGCCGTGACAAACACCAGGTGGTCCTCTGGAGACTTGCCGTGGGTTTTGCTGAGGTGCAGTTTGACTGCGTGTTTGCTGACGAATGTCCGATTGCAAAGTCTGCACTGGTACACAGAGCCCGAGTCGTCCTCTGGTGTGGCCAAGGCCGACAGTGGGCTGCCGAATGTCATTTTGTCCGTGATCACCTTTGAGGCAGCCTGCTGCTCCCGTAGGTGCTCAGCTGACAGCTTGGACAGGTCCTTCAAGCTGAAGCCCAGGTGAGACTCCAGGTGGCTGATGTAGGAGGAGGGAGTCCTGAACTGAGAGGCACAGTCACCGCAGAGGAACACAGGCTGGCATGAGTCCATGTTCTTGAGAAACTTGGTGCCCCCAGTCCGTCTCAGCTGGTACTTGACATTTGCCAGCCAGTGAGATATGGTGGTCATGGACAGACCAGTGAATTTACAGATGTGGACCCTTTCCTGAGGGCCCAGGTCTGTCATGGCGTAACGGCCCTCTGGGGTCTCCCTCAGGCTAGAGGCAAACTGCGCCTGCAGGATAAGGAGATGCTGAGGATTCCAGTTGGACTGCCTCCCTTTCCTCTTCTGCACCGGTGAGAGGTCCTCCAGGGCATCCTCAAATGCACTGCCATCGGCATCTGACTTCTCTGAGATGGAAGAGGGAGTTGAAGATTTGGGCGTCAGCCTCCCTGTGAGGTTCTTCACCATATCGGAAATGTCCATCAGAGCATTCTCTCTCAAAGGAGAGGAAACTGACTCAGGGAGGGAAATGAGGGGTTTGTTGCCATTTAAACTACTGTTGGCCGCGAGCACGCTGCCGCTGTTGTTATTGTTGTTGCTGTTGGTAGTGGACTTATTTTTACTGAGGTCTATGGGCTGGTCACTGTTTTCATACAGCTGATAGTGGCTGACGGGCTCCACTGGCTTGCCCTGAGGCGCGGGGTTGAAAGCTGGCTTCTCCATCATGCTGTTGCTGATTTTGTAAAGCATGGACAGGGGATCTGCAGCTGGGCTCACTGATTTGGATGCCTTGCCCAGGTGTGTATTCATGATCGACTGAAGTGCGCTGAGAGGGTTAATGAAAGGACTTTCAGGGGAGTGATCAGTGATGATGCCGAGGCTGTTGCCATTTGTAACTGGGGACTGGCACGCCTCGGAGCCATTCTTTGAATGGTTGTGGCCATCCACGAGGGTCTCTTTGGGTTCCTTCTTACAGACAAGCTCTGAGTCAACACTGCCTGGGCTAATGCTTCTCATACCAGACGGTTTGCCTACAGAGAGGTCATTTGGAGATGGCAACGGCTCTCTTTGCTCTCTCAGTACAGGGGAGGGGGATTTCACTAATGATGGGGGCCTGCAACGTTCCAGGCTCACCATCTTCTCTTCTTTTTCCTTTTTCACGGTGGCAGCTTTTCCTGTCACTTTCTCCACAAGCTCCTCCATGGCAGTGACATTGCTCCTGAGGGGTGTGGGGGAGGAAGGGCTCCGAGGCGAGTGAATGACTGAGCTGGGGTCGTTCACAAGACCTCGCAGCCCACTGTTAAACATCGGCTGCATCTGTACACTCTGGACCGTTGGGGGCAGGAGAGTGGCCGAGCTCTTCATGGCACCCTGCAGCTGGTAGGCTGCGTGAATGCTAGGATAGCCACCCCATGTTGGTGTGCCTGTCTGAGCCTTGCTGATGGCACTGGATACTGTGTTCTCCAAGGATTTAAGAATGTCTATACCCTCTTTAGGAGTTTCCTCCAAATCTTCTTCTCTAAGGTATTTATATGATGTGGTATCAGTCTCTGACTTCTCACTAGAGTCATCTTTCTCTTCTTTAATTTTTTTCTCCAATGGCTCACAGCCTTCAAATTTGTCTTCCTCAACGGTATCCCTCTTGTCCTCTGAGCCAGAGGACAGGGCTGGGGACACTGGCTGGGACTTAACATTACTTGGAACGGGTAGTCTAGTGGTGGTCGGTGGTAGTGGGATAGACTGTATTTTCTCTTCCACGACTGGATCAAACACTAGCTGTTTGCCCTTCTTAGATGCAGAGTTTGTTACCTTCAAAAAGTGACCTGTAACCATCATGTGGGCAGTCAGCTGCTGTAGAGTATCGTGCGAGCTCCCACACTCCATGCATTTAAGGATTTGCGCTTTACGAGCTTCAAACTGCCACGTGTAGCTGGCACCATTTTGGTAGCCATAACGGTTGTTTGGTGTCACGTAGGGGTTGGCTGCAGCTTTTGTATCCTTGCCCATGTCCCCAAGAGATACACTGCCACCACCACTACCAGCATGGAGAGAGTCCGGGGAGCATGGAGAGACTATAGCATCTTGGATAGCACGTTTCTTAGCTGAAGTTGGCACCAGCTTAGTGGCCAAGGCTGGCACTGGTTCTTTGAGAGGCACTTTCTGGTAATGCTTGGTCTTGATCATATGAACGCTGAGATCTTGCAGAGACTCAAATGAGTGGCCGCAGTACATGCACTTCAGGACTTTCTGGGCATCTTCTTTCCCCTCCATCTCCATCAGGGAACGCTTGCGGGGTTTGGACCAGCGCTTTCCCTGATCCTCCTCTTTGTCCTTGTTGTCATCTCGGTAATGGCCCGTCTCATTCATATGGACTGTGAGACCCACAAGTGTATCATAAGCAGCACTGCAGTCTTTGCAGCGAAACTTGCTTGCACCAGTAAAAACAGAGCCGTACAACTTGTTGTTCTGCCGGTAGAGCTGCACTGTGCTGAACAGGCTGGGCTCGGGTAAAAGGTGGTAGGGGGTTTGTTGGAGAGTTTTAGCAAGTGCTGCCTGGTGCCAGTCATAAGCTACACCGCTACCATTACTGGCACCTCCAGTGCTGCTCCCACTGCTGCTGGTTGCACTGTGGCTGCTAACAGAGTTAGCTGCCGTGCCATTCGTACTGACACCCGCGCTGACTATGTGGTTAACAGTGGAAGAGGAGCTCCTGCCATTATGGTGACTGCTAGAAATGTTGACCCCACTGCTCTTGTTAACGGTTGAGGTCGTGGAAGCAGAGGCAGTAGAGACAGGTTCTGGAGTAATGAGAGCACTGTTGACACTGCCTGCTGCAGCAGGCTTGGATTTCATGATGTCCATAGTGATGCTAGACCAAGAGGCATCTGAGATCAGGTTTGCATAGACGGCTTTCATCTGAGCCAGGCTATCCTGGAGAGACAGGCCGTTGTTTGGACGTAAGGGCAGAGCAGTGCCTTCCCTCTCCTGGCCATCCTTGGAAGAGGTGCTCTTGAAGTCCGCAAGTCGGTCGCTAGCATCACTGAGCGGAGACCCATATCCAGCATCGGGGTTGGTGCCATTGCTGAGGGGAGAGTCTCTGTAACTGGGTGGCTGGCCTCCATCCACATCTTCCTCTTCCTCGTTGCACAGGAACTCTGTGTCCTGACCATCTAATGAGAGGCCATCATCCTGCAGGTGCTCCTCCTCGTCGTGAGCGGCTGCCTTAAGCTCATCCTCGGGCATGTACGCTGGAGTACAGAGAAAGAAAGGAAAAAGAGGTCACCTCAATGAAATTAAAGATTTACAGCACACTAACAGGACTGCTGTCAAAATAACATGGACGGAATACTCAAAGATGGAAAATGTAGGCTTTTATTCTCATCCAATGCAAGTGTGTGCAAATGCAGGCATGCATGCATGAGTTTGTGTGCGTTTTACACACATGTGACTCAGAAAGCCAGTGGTGAAAAAAGCCTCCAAGGGAAAAATAAATCACTGAGCCTCTGACAGTTGTCCTTTTCCTTCCCAACTATCTATGCTTCCACACATGCCTCATGATCCCCAGGAAATCACTGACTGTTTGGCCTTGTTAGCCAGCTGCACACTTGCATGTTTAACCCCTTTTTCCTTCTCCCCCTATTCTTTCCCTTAGCTTTCTTGCATCTCACTCATCTCGTTCATTAACTTTTGACCCTCACAGTTTTGGATTGTGCACCTGATTGATAACAGAAAGAAACCTAACCTCTCATGAACTGAAGGTCATTTTTATGTGAGCTAATGAGCAGGAAATGACAAAACAATGGCAACTTGGACTGAGAGAGCTACATCGACTAGTGAGGTCCAGGCCACAGGATGGATGTGTGCGAGCACTCTTCTGAGACAATGCCACAGATATTCGTGGAAAAAAATGGGAGGGGAAAGCACATGATCAAAGGTAAACATCAAAGATAATTAGGGCGTAGACATAACAAGCTAACCTGTAAAATCTGGAAAAGCGAATGAGAGGAGGGATGCAAGTCTGTGTGTGCATGTGCATGGTAGGGAAGACACAGCGAGCAGCAGTAAGTAAGAGAGACAGGAGGTGGTTAGAGGGAGAAGAAGTGAATGGAAAGATGCGAGGGGAGAAAGAAAAACTGAGCAGGAGGTGGTGGAGAGACGGGATGCAAGAGGAAAGCAGGGGAGAAGAGTGGGTGAGGGAGGCAGGGAGACAGGAAAGACAGCCCCCTAGATTCTTCCTTTATCTCCTTCCTGCATGGTGAGATGTGTGTCCTAGATGCCAGTATCAGTCTCTCCTGATGAAACAGATGTGCTGTCAACTTCAAACGGCACGCTAACCTGTCACATCATAATCTAAGTGGACATAATACCTGATGTATATACACTGGCACCATTTACTGCTGCCTGAGAGGAGATGGGTGGAGGAGGTGGGGGAGGTGAGCAGCTGCGCCATCAACTGCGAATGCGCGATGATGTGCATGTGAGTGCTTCTCTAAGCGCCTGTTATTCAAAATGTGTGTTTGCCCGCGCGCTTACCCTCCTGTGCCTTTCCGTGTACGTGTTCCGCGCCTCATACATATTTGCTTTTACGGCGCAAACCTGAACCCACCAGCCATAATATTGCCTATAAGTCTGGGTTCACTGTGTACCACCGATGCACCCCCTCCCCGTGCGAGCAACACACTCCCCGAACGCCTGACAGGATTTCAGTGAAATGAGAGCACTACAGGAGAACCTGGCCGCGCTTCAATCCTGACAGATGAGACCGAGACAGTTTTCTAAAACTCCTGAAAATCCCTAACACAGCAGATTAGCATTATGTGCTATACTCCCTACAACACATCTGCAGAGCGTCTGCCGTTGCTGTGCCTTCCCTCTCACTAACACGCTTCCACGAGAGGAGGCTATCAATACACATCAGCCATTTAATATACAAAACACCCAGCAGAGTGGGCTGCGCGAAGCCAGAACAGCACAAACATACAGTAGGAATTACCTAGGTGAGTCACTCATGTCAGCCGCAGCCAAAAAATAGCTGAACCCCAATAGCTGGCAGTGTTGAACGTACACACACACACACACACACACACACACACATACACACAGGGAGTAGGAATGAGAAGCAGCAGATCAGAAATATCCCTGGGTGAGTGACAAAACACAGACTGCAGCAGGGAGGGGTTTCGAGCGATGAGCAGGTCGCCAGGGAACCCTTTGACGATCCCTGTCAATCAATTCCTGTCCTGCCATGTTGTCATGGAAACAACAAAGAGGGAGATATCAAAAGCACACAGACAAAAGACTGGCAGAGACAGACATCTGTAAAAAATCACAGGCAGCAAGTGGACGGTTTTGCGAAGCACGTTGCTGCAACATTACAGATGAAATGCGGCTGGCGTGAGTCTGATCTCTTCATCTGCTTTCACATGCACAATCTATTCGGACAGGAAGTTAAAATCTGAGGCGCGGGGAAGGAGAGCTATTAAGAGCTACATATCAGCTCAATCAGCGCAACTTGAGGATGCGCGTTTGTGACTGGCGAACAGATTAAGCTCCCTTCTCTCATCCTGGATGCACATATGCGGCGCCCGCACCGGCAGCGAAAGGGGGGCAGGCGTGGGAAGGGGCAGGGCTGGGCGCGCCGTCCCTGGCGGTTTGGTTCGCCGAGCGGGTGATGGCTGTGAGCAGGGCCATCTGCACGGGCGCCAAAGCGCCTGTCACTTTTGCTCGGGGACGCGCCGCCATCAAGGAGACAGGCGGCGGCGTGGCCGGGATAGGGCCGCAGACTCACTGTCAGAAGCGGCAGCGATCAAGCTCGCCACCAGCCACGCCAGATCACACACCACACGCACCGAGGAGGCGAGAATTATCGGCCAAGTGTCACTGATCCCCCCCCAATACCTACACACAAGGTTAATGTGGTTTTAATAAATATGCTAAGCTACATGTTGGAGAGGCCTCTTTATATGTTACAAGAAGCTCTTTTAAAAATACATAAAACCCCAAAAGAGGCTGCTGTGTGTGTGTGTGTGTGTGTGTGTGTGTGTGTGTGTGTGTCAGCAAATGTTTTTGCGTTGAAGGCTATGAAGTATACTTTAGGCAAAAGACTCTTATTTGATAAAAGATGAGAGCTTTAAAAGAGCTCAAGTATATGTTTCGCTCCCATCTGCCTCATTTATTATTATTCTTATTTAAATGAGAGTGTTCCTGGAGGACTAACCAACTAATGTGCTGTGAAGCACCCTTGATTCCTCGTGCCTGACATGGAAAGTCTGCGAAATGCTACGTGTCGTTACGGATTCTACACGCACAATCTGTGATCAACCACTCAGAGGCCACAGCAGGGCTGAGTGTGCACAGCCTCCTTTCGTGGAGATCAGACAATGTGCTGTTTTTCTGATGAGAAGACCAGGAACACCCCCGTGTTCCACCTAAACTTAACACACAGCCTCGCAGTGGGGCAGCTCAATCCAGCTAGGTGCATATCATCTCTGCAGCATTCTCCCGCAGACGCCTCGTCTTTTTATGACTTGATTTTTTTGTGAAACATCCCGAATGAAATACAACCGGCGGACACGTCTGGGCGCTGGGAAAGGAGCAAAGCAGCAACATATCACTCCTTCTCAAAACTTTACAATCTCCCCGCACTTCTCATTTTCTTTCTTTTGTTTCTTTTTTTGCCTTTTTCTCTTTTCCTAGCTAAGAGTCTGCTGGTTGTTAAATCAATATAACTCTCTGTCAGACCCGCAGAGCTTCACCATTTGGCCGCTGTCAAAGCCAAACAAACCAGATAAGAAAGGCAGAAAGGCGATGAGACGTGAGAGAGAGGGAGAGAGAGAGAAAAAAAAAAGACGGGGATGAAACCAGTCAGCTTCCCCCTCCCCGCCAGCTCCTGCAACACCCCCGTATCTATTTATTTACACACATTTCTTTATTTATTTGATGTGAGTTTGGGAAGAGGGGGCAATCACGGCAGTCATTTGTGGCACTAATGTCCAATCACGCACCCCTTCACTCATGTGATTTAGGCAGTGCAGGAGCAGAGAATGGTGCAGGGGTAGGTGGTGTCGGTGTGCGAGGTGGGAGGCGTGGAGGGGGTGGGGTGGGGGGGTAGCAGAGGCCGTTTAGGGCCGGTCCCTAATAGGAAACTGGCAGTCTTATTCCTTCCCAAGATTCTGTTTGTCACCCTGCTCTCCATTACGTGCCTCTCAACCTTGATGGTTTTGGACAGGAGCTGATCAAAAAGCCATCGCTTGACCTACACGCCGTGGCAGAACGAGACTCTCGCGCCGTGCACAAGCAGGGGAGGAGATGAGACGGCGGCGGGGGGGGGGGAGGAGGAGGAGGGGTGCATGTCAGTGTATGGTGCAGAGAGGAGGAGGACGGAGGAGGCTGGGGTGGAGGGGGGGTGATAGCTCTTGGACTGGGACAAGAGGGCTGTAAATAAAATGACATTATTATTTCCTCTGTCCCGTCATGTAGAAAAGCCAATTATGGTAATGCTGCTGCCGGCGTGTCAGAGGGAATGCTGGGATGTGCTTCCCCCGTGAAGCGGCTAACATGAGAGCAATGCCCTGATCAGGAACACGGGCCTCAGCTTGACAAGGGACTGAACAGATAGGAGGAAGGAATAGAGGGGGAGAAATAGGAGAAAAGAGATATGAAGCTAATAGCGGAGCTGTGTGTGGGCCTTATTTTCCAAACGGATGAATATCGAGCGATCATCAAGGGAGATCTTTTTGGCTGTTTTAGGCTAAAGATTCCATCTGAGGGGAGCACATATTTAACCGTGAGCATTTCCTCTTTTTTTCCCTGTCGTCTCGAGTTTGTGAAAGTCTATTTTTTCTTTCTTTTTTTTTTTGTGACAAGATCAACAAGTACGGTACCAAAACCATCCAGAACATTATGACGTCCGGCTCTGTCACATGAAAAGGATGACGGCCGCAGCCCAAGAAAAAGCTATCGATATAAAAAGTTCAAGAGTTCATGAATTATACGCCGGCTCACCTCAGATTTTTTGACGAGATGAATTATGCAAAGACAATGGTGAAAGAGCCGGATATTGAGGGTGAGGACGATCATTTACTTTAAAGGCTCATTCGCTCTCTCTCTCGTCTTATCTTAGGCTTCTCCCAGCATCCCTTTTCATAGAATCCCTCCCGCACTTGATCAGAGTCCTCTTCTGAAAATAATTCCACAGCTACTCTTACTCTTTTCACTCCCCTCCATTACCCCTCATTCTCTTTTTTCCTCCCACCCTCCGCCTCTCTCCAGCTTTGCTCACACGCCCACATGGGCCCCTCCCAAGCGGAATAATGGGAGCATATGGCCGAGGCAGCACCTACAGGGCCTTAAATAACTGCTGCAGCATTCCAGCTCGCTGTACCGATTTATCTCCCCCCCCCCACCACTACCCCCCCAACCCCCTGCACCCCATTTCAAAACACTTCTAGCCTGAGTTGAGCTGAGCGGACAGCAGACAGCAGACATGTTGTTTTTCAGACACGTAGACACAGGATGGACCGATGCAGAATGGGCTGTAGAAGTGAATAAGTGCTGCGCAAACGAGATTAGTGCCGAAAAACTGTCTTATTGGCAGATATCTGGCGATAAACTTGGTAGTTGTGTGCACCAGTGGCTCCATGCAAACGCTGAGTTACGGCGGGCCGGTGGCCTGATGGGGAGTTTCAGCCCAAGTGCTTTAGACGGCAGATTGTTTGTGTCGTTTCTTCCATGCAGGAAGTTACGTTCAGGGATGAGCACACTGACCCGCTTGCATGTAAACTTTGGGCCGTATTCTAGCCAACAACTGGCCGGCAAATTAAAAACGGCCAGTCAAAAGGTTGACAGAAAAACTTCATCCTATTTGGGAGGATTTTACATGACTGAGGGGCTTTGAATTCTTTGCAGATAACAGGGCTTCAGGGTGTCAACTATTTGTATGTCACTGATAATCCGTGGACTACAGTAAAACTTTCAAATTAGACAGGTCTGATTTTTTGCTCTGTCTCAGAAATGGATGTGTCCAGGAGCTTCACGTGCTAGCGACTGCTGAAATAACATGGCATGCTTGGCAGCAGTGATACAACATGAAAAAAAAGGCCCTGGTGTTTTTTTTCTAGTGAATTATTTTCAACTTTATTTTTAGAAAAATGCTATATCAGGGATCCCTGCTTCTTTACATCTCCGATGAGACAGCAGGCAGTTACTTTGGCCGGGCATCAAGGTAGCTTCTAGCTTTCTAGTGACAGCCAACTGAAAACAGTAAATATGGTCAAAATATTTGCATTTTAGAAAGAATGATGAGCCCAGATTCCCTGGCTTCCATCTTCTCTCGTCATAACTGTGAAACCAGCTATGCGTCCTTGCTTAGCGCTGCCTGTCAGGACCAAGCAGAGGCAAAGCAAAGTGGGAGACAGAGATTAAAGAACTCCAAATTTCTCATCATACAGCCAAAGCATTGATGGTCCTCTTCATATA